TCTTTCTGGCTTACTTCACTTAGAACGACATTCTCCAGGAGCATCCATGTTGCTGCAAATGGTGTTATGTTGTCGGTTTTTATGGCTGAGTAGTATTCCATTGTAGTTTGCATTTTTATGTCCCTGTAGTATGTGTGGATGCATATCTCTCTGCTTCATTCATTTTTAGCTGCTCGGTAGTATTCTGTACGTCCATTTATCCATTCTCCCACTGATGGCTTTTTAGGTGCTTATAATTTGGTTTCTTTGTTTTTTATTTTTGGGTTTTTTGTTTTTGTTTTATCATTTTGTTTTCTTACAAATGGTGGTGCAGCAAATATTCTTGTAAAGGTCTCTGACTCCACGTGTGAGATTCCCTCGTGTGTGCATGTGTAGGAGGTCTGTGTCTCTTCAGCTCTGCGAAACACTGCAAATTGCCCTCCAGAGCAGCTCCGTGGACACTTCTCCAGCAGCGTGTGAAGGCTCCTGTTTTTCCATATCCTCGAATATTTGGCATCGTCAGACTTAAATTTTTGCCCTTGGAAGGTGTATAAAAGGAGATCTCCTGACCACTTTCTCTCCGAAGGCCCCAGGGCTTTTAGAAACTCCACCTACAGCCTGTACCCCAGTCACACATGAAGGGGATGGACTTGGCCGGCCTCCCTTCTGACCTCGGTCTTGGGAGGGCACAGAGCTATTTGGGGGGCCTCTTTTCTGCACACCCCCCCCTTAGGTAATCTCTCCTTGTCACAAGACTTTGAACTACTAACACCTATGCCAGTAACTTCAATTTGCTCTACCCTTGATTTCCAAAGCTGCTTAACAAATTTAACTGGTGGCCAGTGAGCGGCTCAGTTAAAATTTCACCCGCCCAACGTCAGTCCTTCTCCATGTTGTCCCAGCTCAGTCAAGGGTGTTGCTGGCCATTAGGTTCTTATCTCATTGAAGAAAGAATTCAGAGATGAGACGTGGAGGTTAAGAAGGTAAAGTGGGGATTCAATAAGGGACAGACAGTGCGCTCTCAAGGGGGGCAGGCTCAGGCGAGCATCTGCGCTGTTTCCTTGGCGAGTTGGTTACGCAGGGCGTACAGTTGAGTGGGCAGAATATTCACTGGGGAGGGAGGAGCTTGGGGGCCTAGCCCCTGATTCCCATCCCGAGGGGAGGAGGGATTTTTGTCCTCATTTATTCTGGGTTGGAAGTGTCTTGGCATCGGTGCATGATGGGTACTTCTAATCTGCAAGGCTAATTTTATTGTAATGAAGGCATAATGAGCAAAAGGCTACATTCAGACACTGGAGATTCCTGCCTTTTCTTAACTTTCTTTGTCGACCTCCAAGACACTTGTCAACCGAAACTGTGATTTCTTATCAGTCCGGAGGTTCCTGCTTTTCTGCCTGCCCGAGGATCCCCATTGTTCACAAGATGTGTGGTTTCCTGCCATCTGGCCTGTGCCCCCCTTTCTCTGCTCAGGTCTAGTCTCTACCAGCTCTAACAAGGGCACTGCCATCTCTCTAATCACTCAAGGCAAAAACTTAGGAGTCGCCCTTGATTCTTGTCTTCCCTCTACCCCACATTCAATGCATTTATCCGTGTCTATCAATTTCTGTGTCAAATTGTTCCTGGGTTTCCTCCTTCTTTCTAATTCCACTGCTGCCACCTTGATCCAAGCCACCATCACCTCCTACCTGAACCATTGCAGTTGCCCCCTAACTAGTCTTGCTGCCCCTCCTTACAAAGCACCTCTAGCCAGCAGCCAAGAGGATCTCTTTAGGACATCTGTCTTGACCATCCCACCATAGCTAGGGTGGCCCCTTAGCTGCTCCCTACGGCATCACCCTATTCTCTTTTCTTTCTAGAACTTCTTGATCCTCTGTGCTGTGGTCTGTTGCACCAGCATATCACCTCCATGAGAATCGTCAGCTTTATTCTACATTTGTAATGCCTGGCGTGCAGCGGATGGCCGTGAAGTTCAGAATGAATGAATGACTAGGTGGAGGGGTCCACACTGGGAACAGCTTAGAGGCTCAGATGAAGTTTCTCCCAGAGTCTGGGTGGGATAAAAGCTGCCTGAGGCAAGAAGACACCTGTCTTTAGCGAGAACAGTGATTGTCCAGCATTTTATTCCCAGGACCTCTTCACACAGAAATTACGGAGGACTCACCCAAGAGCCTGTGTTCACGTGGATTCCATCTGCGGGTATCTGCTGTACTAGAAAGTAAATGAAGGAGAATCTTAAAATATTTAAGACAATAATCGGATTACACATTGATATAAATAGCATTTATATGAAAAATAACTACATTTAAAAAAATTAATGAGCGGTGACACCTTGAGAACAGCTGTTCCACACTCACGATGCCTGATTGGCACCACTAAAAATTCTGTTGAGTGGGTGACTAGCAGAGCTCAAGAACTCAGACCAAACTGGAGAGTCAGATGGAGCCTCTTACAGGCGTGTGAATGGGGAGTGCCAGGCCACACAAGCCTTCTCTGAGAAGAGGACGCATTTCCCCACTAACTCCCTCTGTGGCTACCCTGCCCACCCACTCACCCCCTCCCAGCCCCATGCAGCCCTCTCTCTTTCCCCTGTCTTCTCATTAAAAAAAAGAAAAAAGCAAAGAATAAGATGAGAAATAAATTTAAGGTCATGGAAAATGCTTTGCAAACTGCATGTATCTTTGAAATACGCTGATTTCTGTAGGCAGAATAAGGATGGCGCACGCTTTCATCCGGGGTGTCCCTTCTGAGTCGTCACTTTGACAAGATGAGTGTTGAGGTCTGGTTTTGCTGGATTTGTTTATTCTACTTTGCGTTCATGTTAAGAAACCAAACTGAGTGTCATGCTCTTTTCCTTCGGGCGATACCGAAACCTAAATTCTTCCTCTTTCTAAGAAGCTGCTCCCTTCCTCTCTCTCTTTTTTTCCCCTCTGGGTAAAGGAAGTGCAGAGCCAGGATTTAAAAAAAAAAAAAAGGTGGTCATCTCTGTGCTCCTATTAAAGTGGCCAAAACTCCCCAGCCTCTGGTCACGCCCCCTTCCACTTTCTGACGTCACACTATTTTTGTCTCTGAACAGCTCATTGACACGATTGCCTCGGAGATCGGAGAACTGAAACAGGAGATGGTGCAGACAGATGTCAGCCTGGAGAATGGCCTGGGACCCAGCGAAACCCACAGGTGACAGGCGCTCCGGCATCGGGCGCGCGGCGGGGGCGACGTGAACCCTGTTAGCGACGAGGACCGCAGGTTGGGGAGCTGGGGGCGTGGTGGCCGCCCAGAAGCAGCTCCCTGGAGGAGGTGGGAGTGGCCTAGGAACCAGTTGTCTGCTGGTTCTCCTTGATCCCTCAGAAGGCACTTGAACTTTGCGCCCTCTCAATTCCTCCTGGCACCAGAACCCGGAAACCTAAAGTTCTGTCTGCCACATCCTCCTGCTCATGGTGATGGAAACAGTAACGCAGTGAGATTCTCCGTGTGCAAAACAGAATTCAGTGTAGCCTGTGTCAGTCTCCAGAAGGTGTAAAGGGAGCGCTTAAGAGGATGGACTCATTTTGCATTCTCAGGTCAGAAAAAAACCCCAGCAAACACGAGGGCTCTGAGCCGGCAATGTGAGCCGGCGTCTTGGAGACGGGATGTGCTTATAAACGATTAAGAGAGGGGAGGCGGCATCCGTACGGTTAGACCTGTCACGTGCACCTGCTGCGCCTGGTCTATGTAGGCGGTAAGGGACTGGCTTTTTCTGGAGAGTGGGGGTGCAGAGGCCAGGACGGGGGGCAGCCTGGAGGAGACTGCCAAAACTGCTTCCAGCTCTTGGAGGCTCTGGTTCATTGCTGGCAAGGACAGCAGAGCAGAAGCGCTACCCAGAGGCATGGGCACTCAGTGCCTCGGAGGCCAGAGTCATGACAAGCTTCCCCCTTTTCTCGGGAAATGGGGTTAGGGTTGCCTGCTGCAGCGCGAGGCTGAGATTGACGGAGTGGGTTTTGCTTGCAAGTCATGGGGCGGGCAGGAGGAGTCCTGCAGAGGCAGGTGCTTCTGGGTGTCTGGGCAAGTTTCAAACCAGCCTGACTTGTTCCCTGCCCTGGACTGAGGGGAGAGCCGGCAGCCCCAGGGAGGGACCCTGCGGCCGGAAGATGGTGCTCCCGCGCCCTGCGTCTCTGGAGGAACCGTATTCCCCCTTAGCCGTGGAAGTTCTCCGTGCCTTCTGTTTTCTTTTCTTCTCTGCACAATGACGGGGCCAGACCAGATGGGCCGCCGCTCCGGGCATTCTCTGATTCTCCTTGACTTCAGTGTGAATGGCTTTGATATTTCTTCCCCCATAAACGAGCCCAGTGCATGTTGGTTTCTGATTAGAGATTTTCGGCCCCATATTCGAAGTAGCTCCAAATGTGCTGTAACTTTACCCAGGGGGTTCACCTCACCCTTAACATCTCTCTGAAGCTTTTCAAATTTAAGAATGACTGCAAGCATTCCAAGATAACTTTTTTTTCAAATTGATGTCCCTTATTCTTGAATGTTGTGTTGGTTGGCACTGAATTCATGAATTTCACAAGGCGTTTTACTTGTTTGTTTTTTTAATGGGGAAGAGAGAAGGCAAGATTATCTTTATTGGCTGTATGTTCACCACATGCGGCCACTGTGCTAAGTGCAGTACAGCTGCCAACTCGCCGAAGCCCCGGCGTGACCCTCGTCCTGCTGACGTGGGACCCGAGTGACTCGGGGAAGGGCCGGCTGAGGACCCTGTGGCTTGTGTGCTCGGGTCGCTCGTTGATTTTTCAGGAGCATGGAGCAGTGCCTGTGTTTTCAGTCCTCCGCTGGGCCCAGCGGAGAGGTCAGGATGGCCAGATAATGGAGAGGCAGGGTGAGGGGGACGTTAAGTTGTTTCCAGAGTGAAGGCAGCGCAGAGCAGAGCTGTGGTTCCCGGGGCGGCAGGTCAGCCTGGCCCAGAGCAGCCCGAAGGGCAGGCGAGAGGAAGAGCAGGCATGGGCGCAGCAGAGAGGCAGCAGGCGCCCCCCTCCCCGCACTCACCCCCGCCTGGTGGCCACACAGACGTGTCAAAGTTGCCTTCCTTTGTGGCATCACCCTCGGCGAGTGTGGGCTGTGAGCTGACCTCACCTGCCCCAGCCGCAGCCACCAGGAAGCGCCTGGGGTCTGCAGTTTGTTGAATGCAACGAGGCTGAGTGCCAAGCTGGCACGCTCGGCTAGGATGCAATCCTGCGGTGGCTTTCAGTTGCCCCTTTGGGGCTAGTAATGAGGTGAGGTTGAGCTCTTCAGCCTCTTCTTGTGTCACGGACCCCTTCTTAGGCTAATATTTTCAAGGCAGAAAATAAACTATGTAGGGTGACAGGGAAAATAATTACATCAAGATAACAGTGACCAGGGTGTTTTAACGTGTGATTTCATAGCATACGGACTTCTTTTCTGACACATTAAAAAGCAAGGTCAGGCTGTGGGTCTAGGCACGTCCGTCACCTGGAAGCAGAGATGAGCAAACGAGACTTCTGCACCAACAGTGAAAGTATGTGGGGCTGCTGGTGGAGGGGTCTCCGAGACCGAGAACTCCTGAGACTTGTTGCCTGCGTTGAAAACGGGAGGAAGTTAATTTCAAAACCTGGTTAATGAAAGTTAAAAAGATGTCCCTTTTTGCCATCCAGTGGTCCACTCCCACCTCCTGTCCCTTCCAGGGACCCTTGTGACCTTCAGGGACACGGTGTCTCTTGTTTGCTTTCACCTCACCTGCTGCTGCTCCTAGTGTCCCGGCGGGTTCCTGCTCATCTCCCTGACCTCCTAGCCCGGAGTACCCAGAGCACTCCGCACTCTCCCCTCTTCTCTCGCAAGTAAGTGCCTCAGTGTCCACATCCATAAAATGGGGCTAGCAGCGGAGCTGTACCTCTGAGTTGTCAGGACGGTTGGGTCAGTAGCTGTGAGTGACTTGGTGCAGGCTTGCACGGGGTAGGCACGAGGTACCGTTCACGGAGAGATCTCTGGAGTAATTTTGGGTGTGAGCCCATCCAGGCTGGTGGCTTTGATACCATCTGTGTGCCGGTGATTCCCAACTTGCATCCACCCCGAGGCTGGTCCTCTCCTGGAATCCAGATGTTTGCATCCAGCTGCCCGCTCAGCCTGACCTTTGGTATCTCAGCCTTACAGAGACCCAGGCTGAGCTCTTGGCTCCCCTTCACAACGCTGCCCCTTCCCTGGTCTTCCCCGTCCAGGTGCCTCGTGTCAGCCCTGATCCCTCTTCTCTCATCACCGCCTTCCCCTCCATCTCCAAATCCAGGCAGCTCAGCCTTCGCGATGGATCGGGATCAGACCCCTCCTCACCAGCCCTGCAGGGGACCCCTGCCTGGTGCCCCGATCTCACCCCCACCGGCCACCTTCTCCGGGCTGTTATCTAAGCAGCATAGAGGGTGGTGTGACTTTAGTTCATCTGAATCCAAGTCAGGTCACTCCTGTTCACAGCCCATCCGTGGTTTTCCATTGAAAACCAAAGTCCTCACCATGGCCTTCAGCTCTACAGGATGTGACTCCATGCGCCACCCCACCCCCCACCCCCCCGCTTCTGACGGCATCTCCCCTCCACCTCTCTGCCCCAGCCCCCCGGCTCCTTGCCAAACAGGCTCCTACCTCCTGAACTGTGTACGTCCAGTTCCCTCTGCCTGGAATGTCCTTCCTCTGGGGAGCTCCAGACCCTCCTGTCTTCTGTCACCTTAGCTGCTTTATTGTCATTTGTAGAACTTGTGCATCTCCGACGGGGAGTCCCTTGCTTCGTTACGCATCTCCTCCTCCCAGCACTGCGGAGAAGCAGGAGGAGGGCAGGGGTCTGGCCCGTGCGCAGGGCTGTCTCGCCAGTGCCTGCAGTAGTGTCTGGCATGTAGCGGACACTCGGGAAATGTCTGCTGAATGGACGGATGAAAGAAGCCAGCCCCTTGGAGATTCTGAAAGTACCCAGGCCTCAGAAGCCTCTTGCAGAAACAAGATGTCACCAATGTAAAGCAATTAGGGGACCCCAGCCCGTGTGTAAAAAAATAGAAAGTTGAAAATGTGTGATAGGCGTTAAGCTCCCTCCCTAGCAAAGCAGAGGGACCAGGGCCCCTTCCTCTGTCCCCGCCTTGGAGCCCATCAGTTCTGGGTCTCGGGCTCTTGTAAACGTTTGCCCCACGTCCTCTGCTAGTGCTTCACCAAAGAAGCTGGGGAGTCAGGGGAAAGATGTCGGGTTTCTTGTGGCTGCTCTCTCCAGATGTGGCCGCTTCCTGTCTCGCCCCAGCTCTCCCCGCCGAGGACTGGAGCACAGAAAATCAGGGGCCCTGCTCTCCCCACCACCCCCGGCAGTGTCACAGTCCATTTCCCGCTAGGGGAGGTGTCCCTGAGCAGGCACACCACCACCGGCGCTCCACTCTCTTCACCCCCTGGACCCCTCAGCACCTCTAGGCTGAGGCATGTCTCTAAAGGTTCCTTCGTCCTCCGGTAGAGCCGTGGGGTCAGTCAGAACTTGGTGAAATGAGGCTCGGGCTGGGCGGCAGGTGCCGGGACCCTGGCTGGGCCGGGTCGCCCAAGGCCGCTGCCGCGCCCTCCACTCTTTCCCTCCTTAGCCTCCTCCTCTCCTGCCGAGGCCTCTCTGGGACCCCGCAGCCCACGGGGACGGCCGGGGGTGTCCGGGGTCCTGAAACCCCGCCCCCACTCCACAGGTTCAGACACACAGAATTCAGACATCCCTTAGCCAGCCCTGCCCAGTGCCACAGGGTGGCTGCCAGTCCCCACGCTTGGCCTCTTCTGGAAGTTTCCCCAGGGATGCTGCAGGCTTCCCCCAGCTATGCCACAGCACTGGGGTCAAAACCACAGGCAGCTCCGCTGCCCCGCCCCGGGACAGCCCTCCACCTCTTCACTTGGCTGGCGGCTGGAGCACAGGGTCGAAGGAGGAGCGCGGTGGC